GAACTCAGGCCCTTGAGCACTTGATAGGCAGGCACTCTACCACTTGAGCTATGTCCCCAGCCCTACAGGTGTCTTTTATAAGCAAAACCGTACTGTACTTGTCTCTTTATGTTTGGCTTATTTCACTTAGCATAATATCCTCAGGGGTCATCCATGTTGGAGCATGTGTTCTTCCTTTTAAATGCTGAATAGTACTCCACTATGTGAATCTACATTTGGTTAATCCATTATCTGTTGTGAGCACTTGAATTGCATTCGCCTCTTGGCTACTGTGAATAATGTTGCTATGAACATGGATCTACAAATATCTGTTCAAACCTTGATGTCAATTCTTTGGGTGGAGCTGGGTCAGGGTGATTTTATTTTATTTTTTTCTCTGGTACTGGGGTTTGAACTCAGGGCCTCATGCTTGCTAGGCAGGCACTCCACCTCTTGAGCCACTCCACCAGCCCTGTTTTGTGTTGAATATTTTCAAGATGGGGTCTTGTGAACTATTTGCCTGGTGCTGGCTTCAAACCTCGATCCTCCTGATCTCTGCCTCCTGAGTAGTTAGGATTACAAACGTGACCCACTGATACCCAGCTAGAAATTCTATTTTTAATTTTTTGAGGACCCATCATACTGTTTTCCATCTTGGCTGTACCATTTTATATTCCTATAAACAGTATACAAGGGTTCCAATTTCTCTACATTCTTGCCAACACTCTATTTTCTGCTTTTTTTTTAGAATAGTACCCATTCTAATGAGTGTGAGGTGAAAAGTCATTCATATAAAGATAGTTTGATCACCCTTGTGATGATCTCTGCTTATGTTATGAAAACAAAATGGTCAAGCAATTTCTCTTCTTTGCTCCACAACTAAGCCTGTGTGGGTGAGAGGACAGTTGAGTCAGTGATGGAGAAGTGAGCGGCTGCCTCTTGAGAGTGGGTGCAGAGAGGAAGATGAACAGCAGTCTCTTTGCTTGGCAGCCAGAGTGCTGGGGGAAGGAGAGTTGTTTTGAAAGGCAAATACCCTGGGTTCTCCTCTTCCATTCAAAGAGCTAATATTCTTACTTACCTCCCGGCCTGGGCTTTGTTCTAGATGCTGCCACCACCTTTAACAAAATGAATGAGGCTCCTTGCTCTCCTAGAGTTGACATGCTGACAGAAGGAGATAAAGAATAAATAAGCAAAGCCATAGACAAAATTATATCAGACAGAAATAAATGCTGTGAAGTAATACAACAAAGGAGTCACAGGAGCTGAGTCCCTTGGACTTTACTCCTGTGGCCTAGAGTTTTCTTAAAGTAAAATTATAGCTATGTTTTGAGATTTATTTGTTAGACAAGTATTTATTGAACAGCCACTATGTGCTACCTTCTAGAATTTCAATAAAAGAAACAAAAGTA